ATGAAGAAATTCTCCCGCCTTAAAGCGCTACGGAAGGTTGCTTCATTCCAGCTCCAGATTAAATCGCCATATTTGGCTTCGTTGTTCTCTTATATCGCCAAGACAATTATAATTATAAGTAATTCAAACCTTTCTTTAAAAAAAATTTTTGTACTTTTAAATATTATTACAAATCTTTTTATGAGAATTTCGTCGAAGTAGAAACTAAGTGAGTGATTTTGAAAAATTTATATTACATAAGTAATTAAAAAATAACCGAAGTCAGGTTATAAAAATAACCTGACTTCGCCATTAAAAACATAAAAGAAAAAATGTTGGTAGAATTTTCGGCGTCTAAAATAATTCTTTTTTTTTTTTGCTTCAATTTTCTATTGAATAATTTTTGGTGCACTTTAAAATGAATATTTTATAATGTTAATATTTTATTTTTGATTTCGTAAGGGATATAATTTTATTATTTTTTTAATTCTTTCATTTGCTACTTATGGCCATGTGATTGCACGAAATCGACAAAAGAATAAATGTTACATAAAGGAATATTAAATTAATTTTTTTATTGTCATTATTTATTTTTCTGCGAGATACAGAATGCAAACGTAACTATTTAATATTTAGTCTTTAAAATTGTGGAGAGTCGAATGCTAAGCAACGCACAGTTATCAGAATTTGAGAAAAATGTAATTAATCGGTAATGGTCTGAGATACTTGTCAGTTTTCATATATTCTGTTATTTTAATCTCTCCCGATCGTTTACGTTAATTTTTATCCTGTGGAATATAATTTTGTGATTGTTGCCTTCATGTAAGTATGAACTTTTAAAAATCTAATTTTTCGGAAACATTTTAATTTATAAATTAAATTATTGAAAGTACTTTCTTATTTTTATAGAATGGAATGGAATAAAAATGCTGTCTGCAAACTCATTGCTGAGTACAAGGAGAGACCAGAATTGTGGGACAGTAATATCCCATCATATTCCGATCGCTCTATCAGAGAGAAATCTCTGAATGATATAGCTAAGCTGTTTGATACAGATGTTGAGAATGTAAAAAAGAAGATAAACAATCTGCGGACGCAGTTTTTGGATAATCAGAAAAAAGTGATCGAATCGAGGACAAGTGGAGCTGGTAAAATAAATATAATTTTCTTTATTTTTTAAAGAATTTATGAAAATTTAAATGAAACATTCATGAAGCTAGCAAATTAAACAAAATATTTATCACTATAAGAGTTTTATTTCAATCTACTTAAATTTAAATATAAAGCTTTAAAAAAAACGTTGATAAGTTGTTCTTTTTCTCAAAATTTTTTATTTCAATCTGTTAATACAAATAACATGGGATTTAAATGATTTTTATTTTTAGATTTACTATTTGCATAAAAAATTCCAGCACTTAACCAAATATTTTTATATGTTATTAATATAATATACATTATTACCTAACTTTAAGTTAGCATTATTANAAACTTTATTTGTGAAAACCTTCAGAGTGGCGGACAGCTGGCCGCCTTAGGTGGCTAGTTATAAATAAAGTAAACAAAATATGTAATTTCAAAGCAAACGATTCTTTTCTTTTGCTTTCTTTAAACAGAAATATAATCAATACCTTTAATATATTTCTACCCAAGTTCCATACAATTAAAATATATAATTTAAGTTTTTTTGTTGATAAAACTAAAGAAATTTTGATGAATTATTTCCCTGGATAATACGAAACTGTACTGTTCTTCAGGTACAAGTTATTGTTTATATTCTAATTAAAAAATGTTTGTCATGATTTTTTCAAAGTACAATTTGCTGTTTCTGCATCTTTTATTGAACTAAATGTGTAAATTCAAAACAATTACTTATTACTTTTATTTATATACTTTCATCAATGTATATTTGCCTCAGTTTCTGTTCATTTTATAAAACTAAAATAATTAATTTAGATTTAATTTAAAAAATAAATGTTGTTGAACTGTTTTCTTGGTGAAATTTTTTAATATTTCAGCCTCATAAATTTAATCTTGAATTACTGACATTATTTGATATTGTTTTTGCCTATTGTTTGAAGTTAGAGCATAAGTTAATACAAAGCAAATAATTATAACTCCAACTAAATTTGTGTTAAATGTATAAAATGAAAAGAATTTATTTGAATTTTTACTTAAAATTAGAGATATGTTGGTGGAATGAGAACAATTATGAATTAATATAATTGTAAACAAATCTTCATTTCAGTAAAATAATTAGTGCCATTTACTATTAATCTCAGCTGAAGTTTAATTTTTAACAGCTTAATTAACTAAGAGTTTCTGAAGCCACATATAATTTTAAATACAGATGAGATGATTATTATATTTTATTACAGGTCTCGATGATGTCTTTGAACCAAAGTGTGTGCACTATAAAGAGTTGATGTTTCTGAAACAAAGTACCGTTCCTCGTGACAGAAGGAATAATTTAAAGGTTCGTATAAAAATAAGATTTTAACTTTAAAATTAGGCACTATGTTATTGCTTGAAACCCGATAAAATATTTGATTTACATCTCTAGTTTAAAACTATGAAAGTAATATATATATTTTTTTACTTAATTACAGCATAACTGTTGAAATTAAAGAAAAAAAACTACTAAAATATCCTTATTAGTCCTATAATTTCTCACTATTGATTTTTTAATTGAAACTGTAAAGTCATCCATGAGGAAAGCAAGTTGTTTTGTTATGATGTTCGGGTGAGAATGTTATTAATCCTACTGATTTCAATTATATAAAAATTTCGTTGGGAATCTGTTATAAGGATTTTTCTTCACGAAACCCAATGATACCATCTAACTCTGTATTGCAAAATTAGGAGGTACTTATCTCTGAAAAAACACATTTCAGTTTTAATTAATGAAGCCTATATAAGTCAAAAGTTATTAAATTTAAGTGAAATCAACATTATTAACAAATTTACTTCTAAGTTAAATTATTGCTCCTTTAAACCTAAAAACACTATTAGTAATTTCCGTAGAAGCACATTGATAAGTTACTTTAAAAGTCACATGAAGCTTTATTTCCTTACAGCAAAAACAGAAGGAAATCGAGCGAACGTTCGAAGATGACTCCACGGATGAAGATCCCTATTTGGAGACCAATCTAAACTCGTGCACCACACCAACCCAGCAACGAAAAAGAATGTGCACACAGGAGGGAGATTTAATGGCTGCAGCAACAGCAGCCATTAACAATGTTGCCAGAAAAGACGATTTGGACTGTTTCGGCTCCTACATCGCAGCGGAGCTAAAAAGGAGCCGGACAGTCGCCAAATCGCGTATTTTTAATACTCTTATGGAGTTCAAAAGTAATTAAATCATTAATTTAAATTCAGTTTTTTTTTACCCATCATTTTATCCAGAAATCATACAGTATCAACATTTCTTATTGCACCAGTTGTTGGATATCATTAATTTTCAGAAAAATAATGTATTGCAGACAGCAAATTTAAAACAAATTCCTTTATTAATGATTAATATAAGAAAAACTATACTAAAAAAAATCTAACATCTAAATAATTGCAAATCAGGGTAAAAGAAATGAGAAACATAAATATAAACACTTGAAAATATACTGTTGATACATTTGCAATTAAACAAAAGATCATAGTGTGTCAACTATATTTACATTTTGCCTATTTTTTGGAGTTAGAGCAACTATATTTTTAATACGCTTATGGAATTCAAAAAAGATTAAACGATTTATTTAAATTCAGTTTTTTTTTCATAATTTTAACCAGAAATCATACAATATCAACATTTTGCATTGCCCTGGTTGTTGGATATCATTAATTTTCAGAAAAATAATGTATTGCAGACAACAAATTAAAAACAAATATCTCTATTAATGATGAATACGAAAAGCCAATATTTAAAAAAAAAACATCGACCATTTAAATAATTGCAATTCAGGATAAAAGAAATAATAAACATATAAAGATTTAAAAAAGACTGGTTCTACATTTGCAATTAAACAAAAGATGATAGTGTGCTTAGCTGTTGAAAGCAGAATTTAATCTGTCATGAGCACAATCTCAAACAAATGCCTTTATTGATCATCAATACTAAAAAATGAAAATATATCAACCATTTAAATAAAAGCAAATCATAAAAATAAATGAATAGCATTTAATAATAAACACTTTAAAAGACTGGTGATACATTTGCAATTAAACAAAAGATGATAGTGTGCTCAACTGTTGAAAGCGGAATTTAACGGAACAAAAGGGGCAAGGAACAAAATTAAAGCTGGATAGGATACACAACTTAACATACAGAATTAACAATTTTAAAAAAAAATTAACATACTTCATTAAAAATTATTTTCAGAATGCTTCAGTATTACTTTTTATTTCATAATGCTAGAAATTAATTAAAAAAAGAATTAATTGAGAATTATTTTTAGAATCTTTATACCTAACTGTTAAAAAAAGGAAAGAAAATTTATTTTTTAAACTAGAACATAGCTATGCTGGCATTAGAGAATATAATTTACCTAAAGTTTTAAATAATTGAAATTTATGTAGAATTAAGTTAAGAAATAAATTTAAATAAAAATATATGAATCGATTAATTAAACTGAATTTAACTTACATAAAATTGGAATAAAAAATAAATAAGATTTTAAACTATGAATCTGTCTTGCCATGGCACTTTGCCAACACTGTTGAAGTAAGAACAAAGTTCATCCCTTACTTCTCGAGCATGAAAAGGAAGAACTTTGCCTTGCGACACCTCTAATTCCAGCATAGCTATGATCAGACCAGGGAGCCTGATTAATAGCTCCTTCCTGAGTGTTTTCTCGATTAAAAAAGTTAGGCGGAGAGTACCTGCTGACAGAAGATGTTTTTCTTAAATAATTGTGCAATGCACAGCATGCCAGCACGATACTCTCAACTTTTTTAATATCGAGAGGGTTGACTCGTTGAAGGACTTCGAATCTGGCTGATAAGATGCCAAATGCATTTTCGATAGTCCTTCAAGCCCTACTCAAACGGTAACTGAATATCCTCTTTGTTCGCGTTAAATTCCGCTTTGGGTAAGGCTTCATCAAGTAAGATTTAAGTGGGAAAGCCTCATCTGCGACCATCACAAATGGGGTTTCGCTATCATTTAATTGATTCACTAGCCTAGTAGGGCCTGGCACACTAAGTGCCCTATTTTCAAGAGCACTAAATAAAGTTGATTTGGAAAATATGGTGCTATCTGCCACCCTGCCATTTGTGCCCACATCTACATACAGAAAATTACAATTCGCATCAACTAGGGCAAATAGTACAATGCTGTTGGACAGCTTATAATTGAAAAGCTGGGAGCCATATTTCCGCTTATGGCGCACCAGAACATGTTTTCCATCTAGGGAGCCAAAGCAATTTGGAAAATTCCACTTTTCCTCGAATTCCTTTGCAATGGCAATCCACTCTTCTTCAGTTGATGGAACCTAAAATATGAAAGCTTTATATAAGTTATACTATAAGGCAAAGTAAATAAATATATCGTTAAGTTTTATCAGTAATTAGGATGTTCACTCTTCAGGAGGATCCGAAATCTCTCGGAAGTAATATTGTAAGCTTTCTTGATCAAAATTAACAAATTTTTAGAAATAATTCTAAAATTTACACGCAGAACATAACACAAATGAGGAACTTGTATTATATGGTAATAAATCTATTAATATTATTTATATTTAAATCTTAATATAAATAAAATGATGAAAATCAATGGCGAAATATATTAATTGAAAAACATACAGATATACTGAAAACTGATGTAATTAGTTCCGTTAAAATTTAAGTGAAAGCAAAAACAGTTCCGTTACATTAAACATACCCGTATTTATTCAATCAATTTTTTGTTACTCTCATTAATTTCCCTAAAAATATCACTTATCTGGTTCTTCCAAGTTCTTTAATTGTGTCGGTATATGATTTTTAGTTTATTTTCATGATTTTGTAGTGTTTCTCAATACTAATTCTTTGATTATTTTATTTATTTTTAAATAATCCCGTGCAAAGAAATGGTTTGCAGCTATATTCTATAAAAAAATATAGCACATTAAAAAAATGAACAAACAGATAAAAATATAGAGAAATATGACAACAAACTATTGAAAAAACACTCAACACCATGGATCAAATAGAACATGCCAAAAAGTTACTCAAATTTTGCAAGTCATATCTTTTAATTGAATCTAAGTTCCATTTTGCTTTTGCAAATCTGCGAAAGATGCAAAATTTAATTTCTAGATCAGCAAAAGATCGAGTAAATTTCATCTCAATATTTGATTTTTAGAACTATTGAACAAACGAACTATTTGCAGAATTCCACAAATTAGCTGAAAAATCCTGGTATATACTTTTTATTTTTCTCCTCAGAGTATTACCTTTCTGTCAGTTACTGTTGTACAGAGTAATCGACAATAGAATTGCACAATGGGCTATTTGTGTCAGTCTGGAAAACATTCCCAAGCAAGGTCCGGTGATATGTTATCAAACTAATTATTCATTTAAATAAAATAACAACAGTTTACACTCACTTGAATGTAATCCTGTAATGCAGCATAAATTGCCTCACATGTCTCCGGAATAAAATGTAACAATGTTGATTTATCTATTCGAAATAAAAACATCAAGGAGGAATAGGAGTCTCCTGTGAAAAAATAATAGTGTGAAGAAAAATAAATAAACAGTATCTATAGTGTGAAAAGAATATATAAATAGAATAGAGTAGTTCTCTTACAAACTAGACAATTGAGGGCTCTTTTTTTTCATAAGCAGAATTTTTTAAATGTCAAGACTACATTATATTCTAAGAAATTAAATCACACTTAACATAAATCTTTCCTTATTTCATTAAATAGAAATCCTGCATGCACAGTCAAGCAAACTTTAATAAAAGAGGATATTCTCACACATTATATCATTTGCTTCTCATAAATCTCAGGTTATACAACACATCAATAAAAAAAATAAGCTAAATCAATGAACAATTCATTAACTAACTGGAAAATTAAGAAAACAATTAAGTGAATTTTCTTTTCATTAACAGAATCTTGTTTCAAACATTCAGATAGCTACTAGAAAATGGAATTTCATAGGGAATATATACTTTTATTTAATAAAAATCCAGAAAGAATAATCAAACAGAAAGATCTCCATTATTTCTAGAGCAAATCATGATACTGAAAATTTCCTTCATGATTTTAAGCTTATAAAAATTTTAAAAAAAACTAGATTTCCCCCTGTGGTGCTAAGTTGATCTTCTGGGATTTAGTTTCACTCAAAGCTTTAAAATAGTTGAATAAACTACAAAATATAAACTATTCTTAATTTCAACAGAATTCATAATAATTTTTATTGGATTAATCAAATTCGTGCGTAACTTATTAATAAAAAAATTCTGTCGATACTTACCTGACGCTAAATATCGAAGCGTCACTGCTAATCTCTCAGCAGCAGGAATGCTGTCTCTCATGACAGTATTTTGCTTCGAAATCATGGGGGGAAACCTTCTCCAACAAGAAAAGAAAACTGTCTTCATCCATCCAGACAAAATTTCTGAAGGCGCCCGGATCCTCTAGTTTTAATTCAGCCATTAAAGAGTGGTAGGCACCCATTTTATTTCTCCGCAATAACCACTCTCTAGACTATTTAGATCTTTTTATGTCCTTTTTTTTCATGGCTGAAGCTGCAGCAACAGCCATAATTGTAGCGGAAAGCGCAATGATCTCGTCACTCATTTTGCATAAAATGAATAACAGTAATATAACAACTTTATTATTTAGGGGTAGCGATTTCAACAGCTTCAAAACCTTTAACTTGTAAATAAAAACCAAAACATGAGCTATTTAAGCGCATGCGCAACTTTTTCAATCCGACCAATCAGTGACATCCCAGAACTTGGATAGTGTCAACGAATCATCCAACTTCTTGGACAGAGAAATTCGTCCAATTTCTCGGATACAAGAAATTGGACCGTGTAAACAGGCCTTAAACATCATAATCAACCAGATCTAAACGTCATAATCAGCCAGATCTAAACATCCAGCTCACTCCCATTATGTGCCACCCGCTTTAAGAGGTACTACCAGTTTCAAAAAATCAAGTAATAAACTTAGTTACCATTGTCACTGCATACGATTCATCTACAGGCATTTGCAAATTTTTAAAAACAACGTATCATATGAAGTAATCTTTCTCGCTCGNAAAAAAAATAACTAATATTATAACAAAAAAGAATTTTTTAATTTAAGATCTTTGAATAATAATAATTGCAAGCATTCGCATATTATTATCCCATTCGAGAGTAGGATCGAACCTCGGACACCGTACCCTTGAGGCGAACGCTCTAACCACTACACCATGACTCTTGTACATGAAAAAGATAATTTAAATTTAAGTAATGTGTTCCTACGTTGTTATGTTCGTTGCATGTCAAGTTGTATCAAATTCTTTCCATTATAGTATAGTATTTTGAAAATTCTTTAATTTCATCCTAGTTTAGTTATATAAGAATTAAAACTCATATTTCCCTTGTCATTTACCGATAATGAGCCGACTCAATATTATCAACAAACAAATATTTATAACCAGTTTAATGAAACAAAAATAATTATAAGTATTTAAAAATTAAATATAAATTGTAATAAAAATCTACAATGTTCAGTTTATTCGAATTCAAGAGAGACGTAAAAGATCTCACAGGTTGGGCTCTCACAGGTTCACCCTTTTTGTTTGAAACATTTTTACTATTAAATTTACATTTATAATCCCAAAAAATGACGTAAATATAACTACGCAACAAAATGTCAATTTTTCGTTAAAATTACAACCTTAAAGAACAGTCGAAAAATGGGTAAAAAGTGCACGTTAAAATAACGTATTTTTAGTACGTATTTTTTATAATTTTCATATAAGATTTTATTATGAAAAAATTTCCAAATTATAAAATTCAAGGGTTCAAAACAAAATGTAAGCAATTTTTTTGTGTGTAAAAACGTTTTTTAAAAACAAATATTTTAAAACTTCCTACACTAAGTTTTATTACGGAAACTAAGTATGAGAATTTCCTTTTTATCCGTCTTTTGATACGTATACTTTTTTTTTTCTTTCAGTAATGAATATATAGTAATTAAAGAAACAAGATTGATAAATTTTTCAAAATACTTTAATTTTATTTTTACTATTTATGAAGTTTTTGGGTGAAAAAAAATTTGAATCATTATTTTAAAATAAAGTAAACGTTTATTTCATTGCAGTAAGAACATGGAATTTAAAAATAGACAAATTTCTTAGTAATTATTATAATTTTTTTTAAAAAACTCATATGGAGAGCGATAATTGCAATATAAAAAATAATCAATCAATTTTTACGTAATTAAAAAAATACATAGTTTTTTAATTTATGATCTTTGAATGAAAAAATTGCAAGTTCCGCAAATTGACATCCCACTTTAGAGTAGGACCGAACCTAGAACCACGTACCTCTAAGGCGACCGCTCTTACCACTACACCACGACTCTTGTACCTGGCAAAGATAATTTAAATTTAACTCATGTGATTCTGCGTTATTATGTTCGTTACATGTCAAGTTGTAAAAAAGCTTTACATCATTCAGTATTTTGGAAGTTCTTTAATTTCATCTTAGTTTAGTTTCATAAGAATTAAAACTCATAGTTTCCTTGTCAGTTACTGACAATGAGCAGACTCAATAGTATCAACAAGCAAATATTTATCTCCAGTTTGAATAAACAAAAATAATTATAAGTATTTAAAAATAGAATATAAATTGTAATAAAAATCCACACTGTTCAATTTATTCGAATATAAGAGAGACGGGAAATAATATCCTTATTGGGCACTCACACCCTTTTTTTAGAAACATTTTTACCATTAAATTTACATTTATATTCCCAAAAAATTAACGTAAATATAACTATGCAACAAAACGTAAATTTTTCGTTAATAAAACGTTTTTAAAAGACGGTCAAAAAATGGGTAAAATGTACACGTTAAAATAACGTATTTTTAGCGCGTATTTTTAACGAAATATGTAATGGGAAAATTGATGACGTTAAAATACCGTCATTTTAACGAATGAAGAAATGGTGAAAATAATCACGTGAAATCGACGTAATTTTAACGTGTAGTCAAAAACCTTATAACGAACGAACGTATTTTTAACGTTTATTTGCCCTTTCATGCTGCATGGGTTCGGTTTTCGTTAAATCAAAAATTTTCGTATTCAGTTCATTTAAGTCTTTTTCTTTTTCAGATAATAAATCAAAATAATCAATAATGTCCTCAACCTTTGAGTCTGTATTAACTAACATAGTTCAATTTTATTTATGAGCTTAGTAACAGCTGTTCTGTTTATACTTCTAGCAGCAGTATATTTTTCCATTTTATATCAATTTCAATTCTTTATTTTTACTAACAAGTAAATCAAAATTTTTCGCTCACTTTTTCAATCAGTTTCTCTGGTTTCTTGCACCATTGTAAAATTTAAAGATGAGCGATCTTTAACAATAACAATAATAAAAAGCAATAAAAAAAAATTTATTTCAGTACATTACACATTAGGCATACGTCTGCCTTCTTTGGGTTCTGAAAACAATCTACGTTTTGTTTACATTATAAGAACGCCATCTAGTGGCTCTGAATAGCATTTTTATTATAAGATGCCATCTAGTGGCTTATAATTTGTCAGATTCTACAACGCCTGCAAGAGATATCCAAGTAGAACTCTCAACGCACGGGATTAGTCAGTGTAAAGTCACACAATTAGAGAGAAGAAATAGAGATGGTGCAAAAAGAAAACTTCCAATATATGGGGTCGACTTAGACAAAACTACGGAAAATAAAAAAATATATGGTCTAAATTTCTTATGCAGAATGAAAGTTAATATTGAAGAATATAAGAAAAACGATAGGCCAACTCAGTGTCACCGTTGTCAGAACTATTTCCACGATCAAAGCAACTGCAACCACCCCGCAATGTGCGTGAAGTGTGCAGGAGCTCACCTAACCAAAGACTGATATAATATAAAATCTAATCTCGATCCTTTACCTGTATTACGTCGACGTAATGCAGATGTAAAAGCCATATCACACATAGCAAAAATTCGTTCAATTCAACCTTCAACTCAACCCCAACTTCAACTCCATCCGAAAACATAGGTGTGCTATACTTATCCGAGTTGAAACAACTGTTGTTCAACTATTTCACTTCCCTACGAAAGTGTTGAAGCAACTTCAAAAGTCAATCAATCAGGTGGCAGCAACTGCATTGGATTATGGGATAGCACAAATCAAAACAATATTTCCGCAAAGTTTACGTTTACGAAGCAGCGATCCAATTTGTTATATTTTAATTCAGATGAGTTTTTAATTCATTATTGATTTTAAAGTTATTTTATAAGAAGTATAACTCTTTTTCTAACCTTTCAGGAAGTTTATGTTATGAATGTTTTATGTTTTTAAACCCGAATTAAAAGTAAGATTTTCTACGCCAAATTCGCCAATCTGAAGTAATTTTTGCCAAGTAAATAACAGTATTTACTTTTGTTTTACATTTTGATATTACTTATTTGATAAGCAAATTTTTAAATTGCATTTCATCTTTTTTGTACGTAAATGTTTATTTGCAAAGTACCTTGCATGTTAAGGGAATTTGAAATATAAACAAATTAGGAAAAAATATTTCATGCTCTAACATACTAAAATTTAAATTATTTTTATCTTTTGAAATAAAGTTTATATTACTTTTTTGGATATTTCATTTCGGTAGTAATAGAGTTTGTTTACGCATACAATTTACTTGTGTACAATTCTGGATATTCTCCATAATACCATTAGTAATTTATAAAATTTATGTTAAAACTCTGTTTCTCTTTCTTTTATTAGTATTATTTAATTCTTTTATTGTGTTTTTGTGAGTTCATTTTTTTGTAAAGACTTCTTAGTGCTATATGTATTATTAGTAAATTACATAAAATACTAGTAAATTTTAGTTGCATATGAAATATTCAGAGTTCGTTTAAAATTATTAAAATAGTCTAATTTAATAATTGGGTTAGAAGATATTTTTAGAAAATTTACATATTACATAATTTTTTTTTTTTTAACAATTGTGTACAATACACATTTTGACTGATAATTAAGAGTTATTCCAGCCATCCACACTAACCCTCTTTCTTGTGTTTCTCTCCTCTCTTAAAATTGTGTTATTTATTGGAATGGTTTTATTTAAAGTATATTTTTGTGTTGCAGTCAACATGAGCCTCCCAGACTCTTTCAAATGGACAGTTGAAATGGAGAGCTTATTCATTGAACTCATCAGAAAGAAGGAAAACGTTTGGAACATAAAGTCCTCATATTATAAGAATCGAATCCTGAGAAGAGTCCGTTTTACTGAAATATCAACAAAACTCATCTCGCGGAATATCCTCAGTATGCTTCAGAATTGACATGCGGTAAGTTTATTATTATTATTATTATTTTGGCTTATTTTTCATATATAATATAATGGAAAATGAAATAATTGCTTAGTAAAAAAGTGATCATGTTAAATTTTATTGTTCACTGCCAGTTTTGAAGCTGTTGGATTATTTTATAAGAACTGGAAATTTATGTAATACATTAAAATTCTGGTACATGTTATTTTCAAAGTCTCAAAAAGCAAAATATTAAAAAATAAATAGTTTAGGTGTTACAGTGTGTAACATCTAAACTATTTATTTTTTAATATTTTGCTAAACTATTTCATGTGTTGTGATGAAAATATTACAATAATCTACCATCATAAGTATCTAGACATAACGAAAGAGAGATCTACAAAAAATGCATTGTTGCTACTACTTTTGATTTAAAACATTTCAGGTAGCTGCTTCTTTGAGACTGTCATGTACAAAGGTAATTTATTTCAAAAATAGATTACTATTTCTTTGTAAATGAATTTTGAAATAGCAACTAATTGAAAATTCATATGTGAGAAAGTAACTGAATAAGTGGAATTTTAATAGAATTGTTTTAGCACCTTCATTTGTGTTATGGAAGATCTGACTATAAAAAAGTACACGAATAGGAAAAAAA